CAAGGAAAGAACGGTAAAAGGGTTCCCCGCGTGTATCTTCGGCGGGGCGGGGCGGCGCGGGGTTCGCTCACAAAGACGCCCAGCCACTAACAAATGCAGATGAAGCCCCTTGCAAGGGCCTTGCACCAGTCCCGCTCCGGCGTCTCTCTCGCACCCACGGGGCGTCCCGTGAGGGCGCGAGAGAGACAGGGCCCGCGGAATCCCTCCGCAGAGGCCCTGGCGCGCCACCGCGGCACCCTTTTTCGCCAATCTCTCTCTCTCTCTCTCTCTCTCTCTCTCTCTCTCTCTCTCTCTCTTCTCTCTCTCTCTCTCTCTCTCTCTCTCTCTCTCTCTCCGGGGACCGCCAGGACGCCGCAGACACTCGCCGCCCGGGGAAATTCAGAAAACAGCGGCAAACAGAAACGGAGCAGTGTGGCGCTATTAACGGGTCTCTCTATTGTTTTAGCGAGTCTCCGGTCGTCCCGATTGGCCTGCATGCCGACCGGATATTTCACCGGGAGGAAAATGAGCGTCGCGGTGCTCGGCGAATTGGCGAGCAAGAACGACAAGGAATGTGTCGGAGTGAAGGGGACAAGGGGTCCCCAACCGGCGAAAATCGGTGTACACGGGTGAAAAAAACATTAAAAAAGTCACTAAAAGTCAAAAAAGTCAAAAAGTCACAAAAGTCAAAAAGTAACAGAAAAACCACTATAAAGTATCCAAAAAGTCACGAAACAGCCTTTAAAAATGCCAAATTTCAATGAACGCTGGTGGAAAAGTAACTTTTTAAGTCAAAAAAGTCATTTAAAGGTCAAAAAGTCATTTAAAAGTCAAAAAGTCATTAAAACGTGTGAAAGTGAAAATAGTTCCACGGCAAAACAGTCGCAAAAAGTCAGAAGAGATACTCAAAAAAGTCACAAAAAAGTAAAAAAACAATCAAAAAGTCACAAAAAAGTCAAAAAAGTCAGTTTTGACTTTAAGTCAGTGTACGCTCGCCGGCTCGGTTGGGGACCCCTTGGAAGGGGAAATCACTGTCAATTTCAACGTACAAAATCAAACTAATTTCGGTTGAATTTTGATGAATTTCAGGCAAAAACCACTGAATTTTGAGAAGAATTTCAGTGAAATTCCATAGTTTTTGATGAATTTCAATAAATTTTACGTGTTTGCTGAATTTTTTAGTACAAATTTGGCTGGAGTTATTTCCCCTGGGTTGGAGTCCGTTTTTGACCGCACTCTAAATTATGTTGTACAGTGAAGTTTCTCCATATCATGGTGAAAATGTTCCATATTATGGTGGTGCAGCTGACTCCATAACATACCATTGAGCAAATTTTCACTGTATCTTATAGATATTTTGACGAATTTCTTCGGCATCATGGAGAAAATCTCCACTATAATATGTTGGTGCAGCCTTTCACCGTAAGAAATTTACAGTGCAGTAGACAAAAATCTCCGCGATTCACCAGTGTTGAGGGTTGCCAACCTAAGCCTGCGTACGAGACGAGTTCTGGAAAGGAACGACTACACGGTAAAAACGGAACCTGGTTTTCCCAGGATGCCAATGGTGAAGGCATAGGCGATTTCCAGGGAGTTCCTGGGAAAACCAGGTTCCGTTTTCACAGTGTAGATATTGCCTCGTAGGCACGCCTAGGCCTCGGCCCGCCCCACTCCCTCTCCAATGAGCCTTCGGGAGTGCCTTCGTTAGTTTCCGGGGCCCTCCCAAGACGGCCAAATCTATTTTATTATTTTTCGCGGCTCTTCTTGTCGTCATGGAGCACCCTCCCATTAAATGGAGGGGGTTGGGAGGGGGGGCATCGTTATTGGTCTGTTGATGACTTTCTGGCGACGCCGCGCCACGCCGCCGCGAGGTTTAATAACTTGGATAACAGGGAAAATGATTACCGGCCGATTATCGATCGCGGCGATCAAAACTCGCGCAGCAATATCGCTGCCGGGCACACTGCACAGTGGGCCAGAAGACCGGCGCCGGCGGCCAAAACTCCAGACGCGTTTTGAGCTCCAGAGTCGCTGAACAAGGTTCGAACCGAGCGTGTGACCCCACCAATGGATTGCTCTCCGAACGAGCAATCCATTGGTGTGATCACACGCTCGGCTCTTGTCCAATTGAGCGACTCTGGAGCTCAAAACGCGTCTGGAGTGTTGGCCTACTGTGCACAGTGCACATGGCAAGCTTAGCACTGTAAAAAAAAACTGCCACTGGGGGAATTTTACCCTCCGAGAAATGGGAAAATTATCCTTTGAGGACAGGGAAAAAATCCATGAGGCCAAATTTATGATAATGAGGGGAAATCACTCCTTACTTTTCACAAGTGAACGCTCCATGCGCGCTTTTAAGTTTATCAGCGGACGCATCAGAGAATGGGACATGTGTGCGCAGAGCGCATCTAGCATGCGAATGTGTGCAGTGGCATGCCGTGCACTGCCATCAACTCGCACCCACCCCTCTCATCGGCTGAGTGATGAGGAAACCGTTTCTAACGCAGTCCTGCGGCGACACGCTCACCCCCCCCTCTCTCTCTCTCTCTCTCTCTCTCTCTCTCTCTCTGTCTCTCTCTCTCTGTCTCTCTCTCTCTCTCTCTCTCTCTCTCTCTCTCTCTCTCTCTCTCTCTCTCTCTCTCTCTCCCTCTCTCTCAAACTCACTCTCACTCTCACACATACGCACCCACACATGGCTGGGTAGTACTGCGGAGTCCTTAGGACTTGTGTTGTCCTAAGCCCGGCCCCTATCCATCTGCACGGGCCCCGCCCCGCCCCCTTCTTGCACCGGCCCTGGAACACTTGGAGGAGCTCGCCAGGGCTTTGGGCTGTCCCGAGTGGTCCCGCGCAGGAGCCGTTAGAGCAAACCTAAGGAAGAAGCCCGCAGCCTCGACGCACAGTGGGCCAGAAGACTGACGCAGGCGGCCAAAACTCTAGACGCGTTTTGAGCTCCAGAGTCGCTAAATGGGTCTCGAACCGAACGTGTGACCCCACCAATGGATTCCTCGTTCGGAGAGCAATCCTTTGGTGGGGTCACACGTTCGGTTCGAGTCCTGTTTAGCGACTCTGGAGCTCAAAACGCGTCTCGAGTTTTGGCCGCCTCTACTTGTGTCGGAAGGGTTGCCAACCTCAGCCTGCCTACGAGGAGAAACCGGGGCTTTGGTGTCAAGACGGCTTTCTCGTTTTGCAGTGCAGGCGGGCATGTGTCGGGCCCGAAATGGCATACGGTCATGTGTGGCCTAGCCCTTAATGGTAATGGCAATGTAAGCAGGCAACCCGTTGGGCATGTTGCAACAACGGTTGCCTACTCGCGAGGCGGCGCCGAGGCTGGCCGTCGTACTGCGCCGCGCGGCGCCGCGACGTAAGTTCACGTTTGTGCCGCGCCGCCGGGCCGCGTCGTGCCGCCAGCAGTGGCGTAATGAGAAATGAGTGCCCCCCACCCCTTTTCTGCAGGGGCATGGCAGGGCCGTGGCAGGGCCCACCACCGGCCCCAAAGGCCCCGCTCCGCCCCGCTGCGGTACCGTGTGGTACGCACCGCCACCTCGGTCGCGGCCATTCGAGCCGCGCGTTCAATCGCACGTTTCTATGTGCCTTCAAGGTTGTGAGTTGGAACCCGTATACTCCGACCAGGGAAGACCCCGCGGTCGAGCGCCACTGACGCCTTGGCTACCATGTTACAGTGGACCTCCGACCGCGAGAGCTTAGAGGTCCTCCAATTTTGGCGGAAGTATGACTTGAACTCGGGGCTATTCGAGCCGTGCGTTCAATCGCACGTTTCGATACCCTCAGGGCTGTGAGTTGGAACCCCTAACTCCAGGGTTCACACCAGATTCCCTTTTTCGTTCCCCCTGACTTTTCCCTGATATCCAGTGTAAAAATTACTCATTTTCCCTGACTTTATTTTCAAAATTTATGTGGAATTCCAGAGTCAAGTGCATGCAGCATCCACACGTGCGGCGTTCAAAATCCATACTTTGACGAACTTTTCCAATTTCCCCTGACCAAAATCGAGTTTCCCTGGCTTTCACAGTGCCCATTTTATTTTCCATGACTTCCTTGATTTCCCTGACCGGTGTGAACCCTGAACTCGAACTACTCGAACCTCCCGAGGTGAGATGCACGATGTGCGTAGTGGGGGCTTACAGCGGCCGGCTACTCCGCACCGACCAGAGGTGACCCTGCCGACCCCCTCCCCCGCCAGGTAGGGAAAGGGCCCGGCCGTGGGGAGGGGGAGGGGGCGTGGGGGCACGAGCGGCCAAGATTTCGGCCGCGTGGGGGTGGCTGCCAGCCCCGCCAGCCCCGCCATGCTGCCAGTGCCTGCAAGAAGGCGGATATGGGGCAGGTCGCAGAGGCCCTTTCCCGGGTGGGGTGGGGTGGGGGAAGGGCCCCCGGCGCACCCGGGGCCTTCAGGCCCACCGCACGACCCCCCACAACAAGAGCAATTGACCCACAAATGGAGGGGCGTAAACAAAGCTTCGGCAAACGCTGGCGTTTCATGTAGTGCACTGTGTCCGGACTGTGCCGACGGGCTGGACGGCCGAGCAGCAAGCAGTGCCGCTGTTCCGTCCCAGCCCAGGCACCCCACCGGGTACACTGTTAAAAAAAACCGTACATTTCAAGGAAGAAGATACGGCTAGACCGTGCCTTACGGTGTACAGAACGACCGTACCCAAAAACCGTGCTTCCCATGAGAGCCCATGTTATGAAAAACCGTACTCCGTACCCCAAAAGCCGTACTGGCTGAGGTACGATGGTACCAGGCAAATTGTCTACGTCTACCAGACTGTGCCAACCTTTCCCCGTGGATTTTCTCTACAGAGTACCAGGGTACCGCCCGCGTGGCGCCCAGACCACCCATGATCCCACCGTCAAAATGACCTTTATTCAGGTCGAAATTTTGACTTAAAGCAGTCATATTGACAGCAAATGACATCACATTGAGCGTTTCGTGTTCTTGGGGCACTATCATATTCGACGGACAAATTTGACAGAGAACAAGGAACACAATGAAAGAAATGGCGTTAGAAAACAAAAACAAGATGCTTTAATTTTTGTAACATGTGATAATTTTTTACAGAAATAAACTGATGGATGAAAAAGCTACATGAGAAAGACACTAAAAAACAATTGTAAGGTACCTGCACAGTGACACTTAGAACTTCACATGAAATGAATACGAAGATCAGATCATGTTTAACATTACAAGTTTTATCAAAGTAAAAATATTGGATTCAAAAACTGTTGATCGGCGTCAACTCAATAATCTACCTTCTTTTTAGGCCCCTAACACCTTCATAATTTGAGGTGCCAAACGTAACAGAAATGAATGTATTATGTTGAATATCACAGTCAATAGATTCAAGAACCTCAGAAAAAATGTCTCTTTTGTAAATTTCAAGGGTCAAAAACACTTATTCATGGAGAGGCTCCAGCACAAATAAGTGTTACTACTAGATGAGCAAATTAAGTTCCACATTTGTATCAAAAATGAAACACCTCCCACTTCAAATGTAGAACTGTTTCCAGAAAAGGACATAATATTCCTGGTCCAAATAATTCTTAACAGTTCCTTTGACCTTCCACACACCAATTGGCACATATAACTAGTCATTTCAGACAACAACAGACAACTATAAACAAATACCAGGCTACTTCTAACTTGCTGTTACTGCTTGTGAACTGCATTTATAAATGCTTCAGCATGTTCTGGTTTCATATCAGGATAAATGCCATGACCAAGATTTGCTATATATCGAGTCTTCCCAAATTTCTCAACCATAACTTGAACACGTTTCTGAATTTCTTCCTGTAAACAACAGTTAAATTTAGCTGAATTGAAACCACAATGCAAGAGAGGCTCTAAGTTAAGTGCACTTACAGGACTAGCATACAGGCCACAGGGGTCGAAATTTCCTTGCAGAGTGATATTCTTTCCGGCAGTTGCCTCCCGAGCGACCACTGGATCTACAGTCCAATCAATGCCCATCACATTGTACCCACTGTCAGCCAGCTCTTTCAACGCATAGTGGGCCCCCTTAGCAAATATTGTCTGCAATGGGAAAGATGACTCATTATCAACATGGCACTTCCCAAACAAAAAACCAAATAGACGCATTTCTTACCATTGGTATGTCACCCAAGTTTTTGGCCTTTACGCCAGCTTTCACTCTCGAACAAATGTCTCTAACACAGGGAAGCGCAAATTCCCGGAACAGGTCGGGACCAAGATATTCTGCATTTGATTCAAACACCTGCAAAAGCTGCAAAGACAATTGGGGGCATATGAGCATCAATGATTCACATTCCTACAATAGAAGGGGCCTCAGAAAGATTCTGTACCTGAGCTCCTGCAGCAGCTTGGCCTATGAGGTAATCTACTACTACATCAGTAATTATTTTCAACAAATCTTTACTGCTTTGTGGGTGTTCATACAGCCATGCCTTAGATTTAGCCATGGTCTTAGAGCCACCACCCTCAATCATATACCCCATCAAGGTCCACTGAAAATTAAACAACAATAAAGAAAAGGCATACTTCATGTCACAATCTTAGAAAAAGTAGAACAAAATCAGAACATGCAGACTTACCGGGGCTCCAGAAAACCCTATAAGAGGGACCTTACCAGATAACTTTTGCCTGGTTAAGGTTATTGCTTGAAACACGTAGCCAAGCTGCTCCTCAACATTCACTGGCGTCACTAGCCGCTTAATGTCTGCAGGGCTCACCAATGGTTGGGGTAGAACGGGCCCCTAGAGGAAATAATAAGAAAGGTGAGGGAAGCAGTCCAGAGTTATTTTGTTAAAACAAGCAAGTAAGGAAAACCCACCACTCCAGGTTGCATCTCCACAGTCATTCCAAGAGCTTGGGGAATGACAAGAATATCAGAAAAAATAATTGCAGCATCTAAATCAAAACGTCGGATGGGTTGCAAGGTAATTTCAGCTGCGAGTTCAGGAGTCTGACAAATGGTGAAGAAGTCGTACTTTGAGCGCATTTCACGGAACTCTGTGCAGACAGGAAATTCATGAGAAAGTATCCAACATAGAACATTTGCAAGTAAATCAAGTTTGCTTACCTGGAAGGTATCGTCCTGCTTGTCGCATAATCCACACAGGCACTCTATCCACTGGCTCCCCACGCGCCGCACGAAGCAGAAGATCATTTTTGAGTGGAGGGAATTCTTGAGACTGAAAGGGAAAGGGGATCCGCTTTAAATGTTTGTTATTTGTTATTTCCACAATGCACTGTGCTTATGAAATAATTTCATTTACGTTCAGGAATGAGTGAAGGAGGGTCTAGTGGAAAGTTAACAACAATTTAACTTACCATTTTCAGTCAGGTCGATTCTCTAATTACGTAAAATGCTTGTCACCGTACCGTGTCAAACCGGTATCAACCACAAACCGGTGTGTAATCGGAGGTTATCAGTGTGATTGTAGGTATCGAAGAATTCAGTCAAATTGCTACAGAAGCACACAAAGCCATGTTAAAAATGTAATGACTAGATTAAACATCCAACAGCTCCGTCAGCTAAAACAATTCAATGAGACAAAAATATTGTCATTCCATTTCTTACCCTTCCACGCCACGCCACTTCACTCTTTACAGACACACTGCACACAGGAAAGTGGAGCCTGCAAATAGTGGACTGTTCTGCGCATAGTGTCGTGTCGTCCGCTCGCTCGAGCTCAGCTGGCCCTTCTCGGTTCCCTGCAAAAGTGCTGGAACTGTTCTCTTTCATTTCCTCACGAGTCGGAGGAGGAGTCTAGTCCAAAACCAACTATCCAACATGTCGTTCATCAAGAAGCTCACTCAGCAACTACCGAACTGGTACGTGGACGTTACTGCTTAAACATCTTCCAACATTTCTTGTGCCCTTGAAAGGTTTAGGTTAGATTTGTGTGAAGCAGTCGTTGAGTCAAAATACCTTTGCTTTGATCAAGTCCCACATTCGTACGACCTTTGAATTAATTTTTATTGTCATGTTAACTTTAAATTTACCACCATTATGACCTCTTTGTTCTTTACAAACGGCTGTCCACTTCTCTTAGAGCTTGTTCCATCCCATGGAGCCTTTGTTGAAGCTGCCCCTTGTGAAACGAGCTGAATCCTTAGGTGTCGTGGATTATGAAGTGTTTAACAATCCTTTTGTCTGTCTTTAGGGCGCCATCCCTCGCTGGCTATGGGGGCGCAGCTGGAGCCATCCTCGTCTTCTTCACTGACTGGAGACTCGTCACCGACTACATCCCAATTTACAATACCAAATACTCCACAGATAAAGAATAGTGGTCTCTGGACATGCTTATTTATGTAATTAATAAATCTTGTCTCCATTGTAGACACCTTGGCACATTTTGGTAGCTATACTGCTTCAAAATCATTCATTCATGTTGGCTCATGACGTCTGTATGTTGCAAAATGAAATTAGGATAAATTTCTGTGCCTTCTTTCTGCCTTGTTACTTTAGCATCCCTTGTTTCCCATTCATACAGAATGTTTTGTGAATGTGTTAATTCCTGAACAGGTTCTTTCAATGTTATCAGATATGCAGTAAATAAAATGATCATAACAGGTACTAATAAAGAATTTTAATTTCTAAAAACGAGCAGTTCTAGTGGATACAGGAAATCAGGACTTCTTTTGACTCTTCAACTCAAGTTCAATCAGCTGTCTGGCAAATTCATCATCCCTGCGAAACTTGTATTCTTGGATACCTGGCCTTAAAAGTTGAAAGTATACGAGTCCTAGTGCACCTCCTATAATTGAATATTTTATGAGACGTGTTCCTGCATTGGTGGGAGTCCAAATTTTTGCAGCAATACTCTTGAGGGACAGCTTTGTAGGGTCAGCAGTAGTTTGATTGGCCATGATGAGAAAATGCACTTGATTTCACTGGTACTGCAACAAACAAAAGTGGGTGTTAGAGATGCAAAAATCAGACAAGTGACAGCATTTAGAAAGACAGCGACAAATTTCATCACCCTAGGCGTCAGATTAATTTCATTAATCGAATGGAAATGAACAAGTGTGACACTACCTTTGGAGGCGGGAGATCTTTCTTCTTGTCGTTGCCAAACTTATTGTGGTAAGCCCAAGTGATAGGCTCGACGATAAACCAGCCGCAAAAGGAACCGATAGCAGTGGCTATAAACAGACGACCTGAAGGGCCCAGCTTCATTGAGAAGACAACGCGTTGTAGGAGTTTCTCCTGAGAGTCAAATAACCTGTCAACAGAGAAGAGAGATGTACACGACTTGGAAAAAGTTTGACACAGCATACAAACCCGTCAAATGTCAATTATTTGCGTACTTTGCGTACTTCTTGCTCAGAACTGAGAATTATTGGCTAACCTGGACAGTCCAGTTTATCCAACCATTCAAAACAATACACGCGAAAAACTTTGTACTTTTCCATGAATAAATGAGAAAAACGGGAAATCATTGACCACTAAAGAGCGTATTTACCAGAAGGACTCGAATCCTAAATAAACAATAGCGTGTTTTGCCTCACCTAAGACCGCGGCTTCGGCGGGGCGTCTGCTTTGCTCTGGCTCTCCGGCAAGTCAAAATTTGCCAACGTTTTCTGCCGTTCTCTGTCTAGCTCTTCTTGTGACACGTTGCTGCCGTAGTGCCTGTCAAATTCGGGTTTCCAGACGTATATTCCACTGGCTATGCCCAAAACCACACCAACTATAAGCTGCGGTCCAGTAAAACGAACTCCTCGACTTCTTCTTAACCTCATTCTGTCACGCCATGTTTGTTCCAATTTTTCATAGCGGGAGACCGCTTCTGACCGGCAGCACTTTTGCAAAGCTGTGCTTCGCGCGCTTCGCGAACGCGCCCGTGCAGTGAACTGATGAACCGGTGAAGAGGTGCTGCGAGGCGAGGCACAAGCTTCTCTTTGTGTCGCCACGAAAAACAAGAATGGCGAGGACCTTCGAGAGTGTTATCGTCTCCCGAGTCGAAAGCTCGGGACAAATAATCCAGAAGTACGATTTCCCGGTGACGCTCTCGGCCGAGTACGATCCACAAGGCTTCACGATCAATGGATTCAGAGGTGAGTGCTTCGGGTGGCTTGCAATGTTTGGCTCGGCGGCAACGTCTTTTCTGCGGCACTGACACTTTCTGGCGTGCCTCTCGATGAAGCCCACTGCGAGCCAGCGAATGTTTTCCCCCCGTCTTGCTGCGCGCTTCGCGATGGAGACTGCCGGTTGCCGAGCCAAGTCCGTGATGCCCACCTCGCGTCCAGTCCCGCGTCTCCTCCACTGGAAGCGACGCACAGCACAGCAATTAGTGACGCTCTGCCAGTGACTGGCTCTGGCCGGCAGTCGTCCTTGTCCTTGCCCTCTCGAGACGCTCGGGCCGGCCTGCCCTGTCTCTGTCACTCCCAAGTCGCCTCGGCCCTGTGGCGGTGACGCTAGGTCATGGCCAGTCCCTTGGTGCTGGGACAATGGAGGGTCTTGACGCGACCTGCCTTGGTTATGTTTATGCTCAGCTTGTTTTGGCAGACTAGCGCCTCTCGCTGCTTGGCACAGTGCAGGCACCGTGTCCTGCCTGACCACCAACTTCCTCCGCTTGGATTACCTGTGAGAACTCTATGGTGGTCACTGGAATCCTTGTTGCGTCGTTATAAATGGGAATTTGGGGTGAAAATGTTTGGGGCCTCTGTGCAGTCTACATGCTGCTGCTAGGTTCTATTTATAAATTGAACTCCCTACTCTCTTTGCACTTCTGTGCATTTATCTTGGTACGCCAGCATTACGCCAGTTAGGCTTTCTGAATTACGAATGGGCTGTCGTTTATTGACATAATTTTTTTTCATCTCAGATGTTGTTGTTCCAGAGGGTCAGATGCAGGGAGATCCCTTGTTTTATTTTGTACTGTCACACTCAACCGAATGTGCCAGAATGGGTGCCCTGAATTACATCTTCCACCTAGATGATATGGAAAGTCTTTCTTTCAAATTCAAGGACCCAGAAGGTAAGGTCTCGTTTTTTTCTGTAAGTTTCTTTTCCTAGTTGATACATTCTAATTCTCATGCTCCATGCCTTTTCAGAACTAAGAGCTTTCCATGGACTTGTGATAAAAGTGAAAACCGGAAATAAAAATTCTGCTTTTGCCTGCCGTACTGATGACTCTTCTGCAATTCAATACTTCCAGGTATAGTTTTTATGAGGCCTTTATCTGTCCCACTTTTAAATTTATAAACTTATATTTACACTTATAAAATATTAGCAGATAAATATTTTTCATTTTTAAAAATTGTTTTGAATTTTTTACAGTTTTATGGATACCTATCTCAGCAGCAGAACATGTTGCAAGACTATATTCGAACATCTACATATCAGAGAGCTGTTCTAGCAAATGGTGCTGATTTTAAAGACAAAGTGGTTCTTGATGTTGGTGCCGGATCAGGTATTCTCTCATTTTTTGTTGCACAAGCTGGTGCAGCAAGAGTGTATGCTGTGGAAGCAAGCTCTATGGCCCAACATGCAGAGGTAATCACAGTTCAAACTAACAATTGACTCATCAAATTTGTTGGTAATATTTTGAATTAATCCTAATTTATTTTTCAATGATGCAGCAACTCGTCCGATCTAACAACCTTGCTGATCGTATCTCTGTAGTTGCTGGAAAAATTGAGGAAATTGACCTTCCAGAGAAGGTTGATGTTATTATTTCGGAGCCCATGGGCTACATGCTGTTTAATGAACGTATGCTGGAAAGTTTCTTGCATGCTAAAAAATGGCTTAAACCTGATGGTGAGTTATTTTCCTAGTTTGCTTTGTATTCATCATGATTCCTTGGCAGTCAGGTTTTCATTCTTTATTCCCTCATTGAGGGCTGCCTGTTATTTGTTAAAATATCTTTCCGCTTAGTGGTTTGCTTATTTTAAATTGTACAAAGGTAAAAAATAACATTCTCGTGTTTTTTTTTTTTTTTTTTGTTTTTTTTTTAGGGAAAATGTTTCCCAGCCGTGGTGATCTTCATGTGGCTCCTTTCACAGATGAAGCATTGTACATGGAACAATTCAACAAAGCCAATTTTTGGTGAGTTGTAAATGTTTAGTGTCCCTTTCTGCTAATTGAGGCTCTTGATGAGGCCTTTCACCTCTAATACTATGGTACTCTTTTTGGCCCTAGGTTTCAGCAGCATTTCCATGGAGTTGATTTGAGAGTGCTCCGGGAAGCAGCTATGAGGGAGTACTTCCGCCAGCCTGTTGTTGACACATTTGACATGCGTATTACAATGGCAAAATCTGTCAGTCACATAGTTGATTTCAGCACGGCCAATGAAGAGGATCTGCATCTTATTGGTACTAGTTTTGTTTCCAAATCACCTGTGTTAAAAGCGAAATGGTTTCAAAATTTTCTATGTTTTTTTCTTGACTTTTTTTTTTTTTTTTTTTTTCAGAAATTCCAATTGAATTTCACATGCTGGAAACGGGTACTGTTCATGGATTGGCATTCTGGTTTGATGTGGCTTTCTTTGGATCTCAGTCACCTATTTGGCTATCCACTTCACCGTTGGAGCCCTTAACTCATTGGTATCAAGTTCGTTGCCTCGTAGAGTCACCGTTGTTTGTTAAGGCTGGGCAACTTCTTCGAGGAAAAGTATCCCTTGTCGCAAACCAAAGGTAAGTGTCAGTCTTTTTAAGTTTCACATTTCAGTTTTGGCTCCGCATGGTGCAAAGAGAGGGGTTGCGTGATTGATTGATTGATTGATTGAAGTTATGTTTTTTGTATCACATTTTTCTTGGTTTCATTTTTTGTAGGCAAAGCTATGACGTCAACCTAGAAATGAGAGTGGAGGGAACAACTATGCGCACAAGCAATAGTCTAGATCTGAAGAATCCGTACTTCCGGTACACAGGCCAGCCGGCACAGGCTCCTCCAGGCACATCACATGCTTCACCTAGTGAACAGTACTGGAACCTGTTGGATGTCCAAGGTGCAAGGCAGGGTGAGTAGAGAGATTCTCTTTATGAGCAAATATCACTCGTCCTCTTTTCTGAGCAAATGTTTTCTGTTTCAAAGCTACAGGGAATTTTTAAAATCTGTGTTGAAACCTCTGTCAGGAAGTTAATTAAATGATCATATGTATAGAAGGCGGTAGTGCTTACATAAACAGTATGTAAAAGGGTCGCTTTGTAGTTATTTGAGGAATCAAATACATTTCTGGTGATGAGTGCTCACTGAAAATTTCCAGTATATATAGCAGTCCAATTAATATTATTTTCTATTGTTCATCGTGGTTGGTTGCTCGTCTGCTATCTGTGTCGTGAATATGGGCATCTGCCCTAAGAGTTACGGCCAATTCAATTTTTTTCTGAAACATCATTACTTCGTCCTTCGAGTTTTTACCTTATACCATTGGAATACGGCCATTTTGAGTTTTCACTCCCTTCAGAGACAGTGTAGTCACCTGACAAGTGTCGAAAGAACTGCCTCATCGATCAGATAGCCTGGTTCATGTTCTTGGCGGCATGTTTGTATTTTTCTGCTGTTGTATTTTGATTAAATTTTAAGTGCATGCACTGTAGATTGTTGTAGCCCCTTCCAAACATGTGTCATTTCATTTCATTAATTCTTCATTTAAAAAACTCAGTGCAGTATTTGCAGCCTTCACTTTATTTCATTTTTTACTGTATAGGTTCAAGTTTATCCTTGCTTGGACTTTAAATAATTTAAAGAGGACCTGTTTTGTTTCCATTTGTAGTCTCATACATCCATTGTTTTAGATACTGTATCAAGGGAGACAGTAACTTCTACTGTCTCGAATTCATTCTGTTTGCTTTCATTTCCTTTTAAATTGTAAGTAAAGGTTCTCCTACATTCCTTATTTATTAGCATGTACTGCAACTGTGATATTCTAATTTATAGCTTTAACTTTTTGTTTTGTAAATGTTCTTCATGCTTTGATTAAATATGAGATAAAGAAAAACTTTGCACCGACTATTGCTTTTGTTAACACAGCAACATGCCTCAAGTTATGGGCATTTGGATTGTAGATAGCAAATGAAAATTAAATGGGTAACAGTAGTACTGATGCATGTTTCTGTTTGTTGCGTCTTAGGGCTGTGCGTGCCATATGCTCCAAGCAGCTCATACCCATCATACGCTTATTGCGCTGTTGATCAAGTGTATGAAATGGATGGACAGTTCTACAATCTTGCGCTGCACCAACAGTAGTTTTCAGCGGCTATTGATATAGCTATTTGGGAAATGAATTGATTAGTTTCTGCTCAATGAAATCTGTGTTCCATGTAGATTACCTGTTATTAGTAGTAGTTCTAATCCATATGTCTAGTTGTTGTTTACCTTGTTATAGTACAAATCCTAAGAAGCTGTTATTGTTGAAAGTTCACTGTTTGGCAAGTGTTCTGCGTGAATTTTATTTTTTAAAGTTTTTGTGACTTTGACTGGCGTATCTGTACCTTATCTTGTTATGATTTGGGAGTTTTAACTCTTTCATGCAATTTATTCATGTAATGGCTTTGTAGATGAATGCCTTATTTTAATGACTGATATTTTGTATCCAGCTAGTCACATGATTGATGAGTTGCACACTTAATTTTAACTAATGTGATTGATATGAATACTTTGAGTAGCTCGACCCCACGGAGTGCTTAATTTCTTTAATGTATTGCTGTCAATCCTTGCATAATGTGCCCCCTCATGACCCCCTTTCAGTTAGTGGGAACTGATGGCAGCAAGTCAATGATAAAATTTGTCTAGTTTCTATTGTGTACCAATTTTGCTGCTGCCTCTACCTTATATCTAAGGTTTTGTTCTAATATATATGGACAAATCTACAGTTAAGATTTTGATTGCCACAAATTTTATTAAACCCATAGATTGTTGGGTTGTAGATTGTTACACTGTTTAATTAATGGCCTGGACTCAATTTCTTATTTCACCAAAGTTGATAGTAACCATTGTACAAATGAATATGGTTTCAAGGTTTATTGTATCTGTCTGCTGTGTGACATGATGTATTTTTATGCAGCAAACAAAATTAAAGTGTTTTGTTTGTTTTTTTTAGACGCCTAGTCTTTTATTCATCTTAAATTAACTCATTTGCTCAGATCAGCTGGAACTCCTTTTCTTTATTGACCTATCATCTTCTCATTTGATAAATTCTGTTGGTTTTGCTACAAAGTTGTGTGAACTTGTGGAAGAATGACTGTTTTGTTTGTTCTAGCTGTAAATATGGTTAATGGGATGTCCGTTAATGGCCTAGGAGAAGTATCCATGGACACATCACAGACCAATAATCTTATTGCCTTGGGTAAGTCACTGTCTATGCTTGCTTAAGTCCAAACACTTAGTACCCAGTGTGTATTTTTAAAAAATTCTGTATTTTCTGTGTTTTAATAACAACTCTGATATGAATGTAATTTTGAACTCTTCGCTTTCAGGCAACCAGCCAAACATTCATCCAGGAAGTATATCGAGCACAGGACGTCAAAGGATTGGAACTGCCACGTCAACTCAAGCTGCTCAATTGATTGGTGGAGGCATTGCTCCCACATTATTTACGGCCCAGGTAAGTCTGTGGGACATTTTGTTGATTCTATTTCAACAATTTAGTTTTCACATTCCAGTTCTTTTTCATATGATTTATGGTGTTTGATAAATATGGTGTGTGCCTTTGGTATTTTGCAGTGTAGCAACATGAGTATTTCGGGGCAACCAACCCAGCTGGTCTTCAATTCATCAAATTATCCTGTCAACAACAGCTTGATGATTGGTGACTATGTGACACCCATTAACAACCCTATTATTCCCACTCAAACCTTCAGGCAATAGTGTCACATTTGTGGACTCAAAAGTTAATCCCATGCCACTTAAGTTGTGGGCATGGCTGTCGCTTCCTTTGCAACCAGTGGACTGTTGTAATTTATTGGTGGTTACTATGTACATTACTTAGGCTTATATCAATTCTGTAGATGTTCAACTTACTGGTAGTGATAAAGCAATCAACATTTGTACTTAAATTCTTTTCACTTTCTATTTATGATGAAGTTGATAGCAATAATGATGTGATTCTGATCTGTTGCATCAGCCTGCTATGTGAGGAAAGGAGGAGTAATGTTTTGTGCTTTACTCAGGGATTACTTTAAATTTTATTTTTTGTGTATTGGTGATGTAATCATTTCAGCCTAAGTATTTTTTAGGAGGTTAACAGGCCTATTGATCGTCATGCTCCTTGACATTAGACATTTCTGTAAGTTTATTTTTGATAGAATTGCTTGTATGTTTAGAAGTATATAGCTTAATTTTATTCCTATCAAGTAGGAATGAGGACGTTATGTACAATGTAGAATGTTGACTGAATCTCGGTTGGCAGCTCCTTTGCAAAACACTTCTTATTACTGTTGCCACAGAAAATGGTGAACTTTCATAGAAGGTACACCTACTATACATGGGAAAATGAATTTCTTAGGAGTGGTTTTTTAATTCTCTGCAAGACATTGGGTTAGCATTACAATTTATCGTATTTGATATAATGCTGATTGTTTATTTGTCTGACCGCAGTTTGCTCTGAAGTATCGTGATGTTTGACAAGGGAGAGGTCATGTATTCTTTTTGACAAGGCTTTTGTTTTGTCACATAATCAAAATGTCGCGTTTTCCAGAAAATTTCATGATTACTTGCCAGGGTGAAATTCTTTTGCCTATTAACAATGGAATTTCTCCAATCATTTTAATTTTTCAATTGAATCTGTGACAAGCAGAAAACCTTTTGTGATATGGCTTTTTGACTACCTTAGGTTTTTCTTCTATCTTTTTTATGTAGTTACTTATGTAGAACTGTAGCATTATTCTGTTTCAATATTAGGAAGATTTGCTGCACAATGTGATGCTTATTTATTAAACCTGAAAAGGGAGAGTGGGCTGTTTTTATTATTCTATTGGCACTGCCTTCTGTATATAAATTTGAAAATTTCTTATTTGTATTGTATTAACATCTTAATGTGGGATCGTTGTTGATCTGTAGGGCCCTGTCCACGTAATGAAACACTTCTTATCACCACCTCTTTTTCCTTGTGTGCTAATAAACCTTATACATAGGATGTTTCGGAAAATTGCTCATATTATCTTATTTTTGTACTGATAAGTAACATTCACTGTCATAATTGGCTCACAAGAACGAAAAGCAATTGGGTTTTCATACAGCTTCCTTTGTGCAAAATTTGGCCAACCTTTTACATTATCATTGTCTTTGACAACCCAGTGAGTAAGGTGCTATTTGCCAGTAGTCTTTTACCTTACCTATTTTTAAAGAAATGAATTCTGAGAAGGAACACATTTGCATTTAATTTTGTGGATCATTCCCTGTTCTACATCCGTAGTTCCATTTCGAAATGAAGAACGCTTGTGTTTCTTTGCTTCATTGTGATTGACTTTGTGTTTAACGAGAAAGAATTACACATGCTGAGAATCACTGAACAGTCATGTACTTGTTACATCAGCACTTCATCTTTTTGATAGTTTGGAGTAGAGATAAATTAAAGATATGATATGAGGGAGGCATGTGCCAACTGTGCTCAGCTGTAGTCTCTTTTTTCGTAAAATGAACTTGTCCGTGATTTTTAGAGGCAACTTAGATATTTGCAATATTTTTTGAATTCATATTTTGAACAGTTGTAGGCTCATGTCTGTGCATATTAGATCCATAAGCTAGCTAGATTGTCTATTTTCCATTTACAATTTCTTTGTTTTTTTGTTGTGTTTTTTTTTTTTTTTCACAAACAGAAATTTTGATATGGAGAATTTTGGCTTTGGAATAATTTACATTGTCACCCAAGTTCCTTTTGTGAAAATTTCATCAATACCTTTTTGAAAGAATTTCTTTTTGGTTTTGCTTCATTCCACTGCACTAGAGGATTTTTTTATGTTTTTGAAATGGGTCAGTTGCCCTCTCTTTTCCTCGATACCTTCAGCTGCTTTAACCTTGTTGAAGTGTTATTTGTTTCCCTTTGTTTGTTTTGTCTACAATTTGTACTCAAATACTGTTTGTTTAGTCATACAGCTTGAACTAATTGGTTTGAGCTTGTTACCTATGTCCTCCCTTTGTCTATGTAGTTGAAATGGTTATTGCTCTGAGCTCTCATTGTTGTCAGTTCATAGGACTTAGTATTCCATCACTTGTTAATTAAACCATGTTACCTATTTCATCAACCTGTTTGCTGTCCGAGAGCACTGCCTGAGAAACAAGACATCTTGTTCAGCATTTTCAATTCTGGCCTCAACCATAATACGTAAAACGTGTATTGAGCCTATGAGTTAACTTGGATCACAGTAGAGGAGGTTGTGCTTATGCGTTAGTAACTTAAATCCCACATCATAGCTATGGCCAATGTGCTTGTGTAACTTACTGGTTTTATTATAATAATAATAATATAAGCCAAGTGCTGATCATGCCTCACTAGCATTTTCATCACTTTTAGACATTATTTAATCCTTAGGGGTGTTAATATGAACTTTTTATTCTTCATGTAATGTGAATGTTTTGTGTGATATTGCAGTATGTTTGTTTGAATGTGTACAGTCTGACAGGAAAGAATAGAAATTAGATCCTTCTTATATTTAAGAACTAGATGAACTTGAACGAGTTTTTAAGGTGGGTGAGAACCTTCTGCCGATACTTTGATTCTTCATACTTTTTATTTGGTCATGTTTGTCTTTGGCTCGTGCTCACTTCAATAATTTGTACTCATGCAGTATTACTTGATGAAAGAGAAAGAGACCTTTTAATGCAAGTTTTCTTGCTGATTTTCATTAACCTTATTCACTACAATAAATGTATATTACGATACTATGTACAAGTTTTCTTTATTTAGAACATTAACCCATTGTGCACTTTCACAGACATCACAATTGCTTAATCAAATAAATCTTAATATCATGCAAACTTGGCAGAAAACTATTTTCATTGCCTCAGCAGCTCCTCTTGTCATTGGCACTCACTGATGGTGATCGCTTTTGGAGTGTCCTTACCTGACGGGTAGCCTCTCTTCACTACATGGGGTATGGTTTTTGGAACCATTCTGCAACAGACAGAAGATGGCGAATGATCAATGAACATTGGGGAGGCGTACGTGAGGGGTGGGGGCTTTGAGCCGTACGTGTGACCCCATCAATGGATTCCTCGTTCGGAGAGCAATCCATTGGTGGGGTCACACGTTTGGTTCGAGTCTCATTCAGCGACGCTGGAGCTCAAAACGCGTCTGGGGTTTTGACCGCCTCCACCGGTCTTCTGGCCCACTGGTGCGTGTACGTACTCGATGCAGTCGATGATGGGGCACACGGACACGCAGAGGGTGCAGCCGGTGCAGTCGTCGTTGACCTTGGGCAGGTGGGTGACGGGGTCGAAGTGGATGGCCTGGTAGCCGGAGTCGTTGCACGCCATGTAGCACTTGCCGCAGTTGATGCACGTGTCCTGGTATAGAGACAAACCACGGCAACAGTTACTTACGCTGGCTGGAACTTTAACTAGAGAGAGAGAGAGAGAGAGAGAGAGAGAGAGTGAGTGAGTGAGAGAGAGAGAGAGAGAGACAGAGAGAGAGAGATTCGCCGTCGTCCAAACGCACCTCGTCGACCAGCGCGACCACCTGCGCCGTGTTGTCCAGACTCTTGTAGGAGCCGATGTTGGCGACGGCCGCGCCGACGACGTCCTTCACCTTGGGGGCGGGGCCGCGGGGGCGGAGTGGCGGGGCGGGGGCGGCGGGGGCGTCGTTGGCGCCGCCCTTGGCCGAGGCACTGTTAGCCTCCGCCACGGCGGACTGGCGCTCCGCCTCGAACGGCCCGAACCGGGGCAGCTTCTGGAATCAGCACCCACATCCCGAATGAGACATGTGAGGGGCGAAGCACAGTGGGCCAGAAGACCGGTGGAGGCGGTCAAAACCCCGGACGCGTTTTGAGCTCCAGAGTCCCTGGACTCGAACCGAAAGAGTGACCCCACCGATTGCTCTTCGAACGAGGAATCCATCACACGTTCGGTTCGAGTCTCATTTAGCGACTCTGGAGCTCAAAACGCGTCTACAGTTTTAGCCACCTCCACCGGTCTTCTGGCCCACTGCGCGCCTACAGGTAGCGGCAGGCCAGACAGGCTTACCTTGCCGGAGTCCGCGGCCGCGACGGGCACGACGGGCTTGCCCTTGTACAGCTTGGCGCGCGGCGGGCTCTGGCCGTCCCAGCCCGCCTCCAGGTCCAGCGTCCGGAGGTGCAGCAGCGCCTGCAGCCCCGTCTTGTAGTCGTCCACGAGCGTGAAGTCTTGGTTCTGCACCGCGCTGCACACCTGTGGACGAGGTGAACAAGTTCAAGTTCTGGAGAGTCGCCTCCAGTGGCTGAGGTAGGCAACCCTGGTGTATCGCACAGTGGGGCAGAAGACGCGCACGCGCAGGCGGCCAAAACTCTAAACGCGTTTTGAGCTCTAGAGTCGCTAAACAGGACCCGAACCGAACGTGTGACCCCACCAATGGATTCCTCGTTCGGAGAGCAATTCATTGGTGGGGTCACACGTTCGGTTCGAGTCCCATTTAGCGACTCTGGAGCTCAAAACGCGTCCGGAGGTTTGACCGCCTCCACCGGTCTTCTGGCCCACTGTGGTGCGACGGTGTACCTGCAGGGTGGTGGCGCCGGCCTGCAGGAACTGCAGCGCCACGTCGGCCGAGTCCACGCCGCCGATGCCCATGATGGGGAAGCCGGGCAGCTCCCTGGCGATGGCGGACACGGCGCGCAGCCCCATCGGCCTGGTGGCGTTGCCGGACACGCCGCCGTACGTGGTGCGCAGCGCGGCGCCGGGGCTGCGGGGGCCCACTGCCGGCCAGGGGGTGCCGCTCGCGCTGAGGCTCATCAAGCCCGACACCGTGTTGATGGCGGACACGCCGCTAGCGCCGCCTGTGGAGGACACGAACAACAGGACGATGCTGAGCGCGCCGGGGCCGGGACTCAAGGCGGCCAACACAATGGACTCGTTTTGAGCTCCAGGGTCGCTGAACAGGACTCGAACCGAACGTGTGACCCCACCAATGGATTGCTCTCCGAACGAGCAATCCATTGGTGGGGTCACACGTTCGGTTCGAGTCCCATTTTAGCGACTCTGGAGCTCAAAACGCGTCTAAAGTTTTGGCCGCCTCCACCGGTCTTCTAGCCCACTGTGTGGGTGGGGCGCACTGACTCACCCTCCTTAGCAGCCTTGGCGATGGTGACGATGTCCGTGATGTTGGGGGTGAGCTTGATGAACACGGGGATCTTGACGGTGCTGCTCACCCAGCGAGAGATGTCGCGCACCAGTTCCGGTTTCTGAAAGCAACAGAGTGTACGTGGCGTCTTGCGCTTTGACGCACGGTGGGCCAGAAGACAGGTGGAGGCGGCCGAACGAGGAATCCATTAGTGGGGTCACACGCTCGGATTGCGTCCCATTCAGCGACTATGGAGCTCAAAACGCGTCTAGAGTTTTGGCCGCCTGTGCCGGGCTTCTGGCCCACTGTGCCGGGCTTCTGGCCCACTGTGCCGGTCTTCTGGCCCACTGTGCCGGGCTTCTGGCCCACTGTGCCGGTCTTCTGGCCCACTGTGCCGGTCTTCTGGCCACTGCGCGACGGGGAACACACTTTGACGTCAGCATGCCTACCTGTCCGCAGGCCAGCCCCATCCCGGACTCGCCCATGCCGTGGGGGCAGGACAGGTTGAGCTCCAGCATGTCCGCGCCGGCGCCCTCGGCCAGGCTGCTCAGCTTGACCCAGTCCTCCTGGTTGTAGGAGCACATGATGCTGGCCACGAGCACCTGCGGAGAGTTGCCACGTCAGTAGGCAAAGCTTTCCACGTTTCACCAGTGTCGATAGGGTTGCCAAACCCACACCAGTCAACTTCCCAAGAGGAAAACCTAGATATCACCTTGGGCACGCTGAGGTTGGCAACCTATCGAGGCCTTCCGCCACACAGTGGGATAGAAGACCAGTGGAGGTGGACAAAAGTCTAGACGGGTTTTGAGCTCCAGTGTCGCTAACCAGGCCTCGAACCGAACGTTTAACCCCACCAATCGATTCCTCGTTCGGAGAGCAATCCATTGGTGGGGTCACACGTTCGGTTCGAGTCCCATTTAGCGACTCTGGAGCTCAAAACGCCTCTAGAGTTTTGTCTGCCTCCATCGGTCTTCTGGACCACTGTACGCCACCCTCCAGCAGCCCGTCCAGTGCGCTCACGTTCTCAGGGAAGTCCCGCTTGAGCTCCTTGATGCTGGTGAGCCAGTAGTCCTGGCACTTCTCCGAGATGAGCTCGATATTGAGGAAGGAGCCCTGCTCGGGGCCGAAGTGGTGGCGCGAGGTGGTGCCCTTGACGATGCGCGGCGACACGTTGGTCACGATGTCCTTGTCCAGCGCGAACGTCTTGGTCACGGCGAAGCCCCAGCCAGCCTGCGAGAGAAAGAGGGACGGAGACTCCAGTGGCGAACGCTGGCCACAGTGGGCCAGAAGACCAGCGGAGGCGGCAAGAACTCTAGAGGCGTTTTGAGCTCCAGAGTCGCTGAATGAGACTCGAACCGAACGTGTGACCCCACCAATGGATTGCTCTTCGAACGAGGAATCCATTGGTGGGGTCACACGTTCTGTTCGAGTCCTGTTTAGCGACTCTGGAGCTCGAAACGCGTCTAGAGTTTCGGCCGCCTCCACCGGTCTTCGGCGAGGTGCCGGGCTCGGACACCGTCTCACTCACCTCGAAGGCGCGGCGGATCATGGCGGACGACGTGGTGGGCGGCGCGGAGGCCAGGCCGAACGGATTGGGGAAGCGCACGCCGCACATGGTGACGCTCAGGTCCACGCGGTCCACCGCGGAGTAGAAGCGCGGCAGGCGCGGCTCGCTGGGCACGCTGCCGCCGTGGCTCTCCTGCAGGACGCAAAACCATGGCCGAGACCAAGAACGTCACAAAGCGCACTCAGTGCTGCCGGAAGTTCGGAGTCGCTAAATGGGACTCGAACCGAACGTGTGACCCCACCAATGGACTCCTCGTTCGGAGGGCAATCCGTTGGTGGGGTCACACGTTCGGTTCGAGTCCCATTTAGCGACTCTGGAGCTCAAAACGCGTCTAGAGTTTTGGCCGCCTGCACCGGTCTTCTGGCCCACTGTGTGCTGCCTCACAGAGAGCAACTTGGGACAATTTTTTGTGGCAGATCTGGCCTGTACCTGGATGTACTTGTGGATGTACCAGGCGGCCGTCTTGCCGTCGTTGACCGACTCCACGGTGGTCTCGGAGAGCCCCGCGATGTCGCCGCCGCAGAAGACGCCCGGCTCGGACGACGCCATGGTGTTGACGTCCACCTCCGGCGTGCCGTCCTTGTTGAGGCGCAGCGGCGCGAGCGCGGCGCGCACTGGGGGCAAAGCAATCCATTGGTGGGGTCACACGTTCGGTTCGAGTCCCAGTTAGCGACTCTGGAGCTCAAAACGCGTCCGGGATTTTGACCGCCTCCACCGGCCTTCTGAGCAACTGCGTGGCGCCTTACCGTCCTCGTCGTAGAGCCCCGACCCGAAGGCCGAGATGACGAAGTCCGCCTTGATGCGCATGGCCTGGTCCTCGTCCTCCACCCAGGAGCCGTCGGCCAGCTGCTCGGTGCGCGCGAACTCCACGGCCGCGATGCGGCCCGACGCGCCCTTCAGCACCACCTTCTTGGGGCTCATGAAGGGCAGGAACTCGCACTTCTCCTCCACGGCCAGCTCCACCTGTGGGGCAGCACGCGGTCAGGGGGGCGGCCGCCAGACGCACAGTGGTCCAGAAGACCGGCGGAGGCGGCCAAAACTCTAGACGCGTTTTGAGCTCCAGAGTCGCGAAATGGGACTCGAACCGAACGTGCGACCCCACCAATGGATTGCTCTCCGAACGAGGAATCCATTGGTTGGGTCACACGTTCGGTTCGAGTCCCACTTAGCGACCCTGGAGCTCAAAACGCGTCTAGGGTTTAGGCCCAGGTTTAGGTAGTTTTTTACCTCCTCCGGCACTGCCCGGATGTTCCTGAAGCCCTTGCGGAAGACCACGAACACCCTGGTGGCCCCGCAGCGCAGCGCGGACGTGGCGCAGTCGAAGGCCGTGTCGCCGGCGCCGAGGACGAGCACGTTGCCGTGGAGGGCGGGCAGGGCGTTGCTGCTGCAGCACATGCCTGCCACGGGGAAGTTGGTGAGTAACAGCAGCAACAGTGGGCCAGAAGACCGGTGCATTCGGCCGAAACTCTAGACGCGTTTCGAGCTCCAAAATCGCTAAATGGGACTTGAACCGAACGTGTGACCCCACCAACGGATTCCTCGTTCGGAGAGCAATCCATTGGTGGGGTCACACGTTCGGTTAGAGTCCAATTTAGCGACTCTGGAGCTCAAAACGCGTCCGTACCTCTCTTGCTGGCGCGGGCCACGGTGGGCAGGAAGTCCTTGGAGGTGTAGTAGCCCTGCTCCTTGCCCAGGCCCTTGAACACGCCGGTCGGCTTGGCCTGCGGCATGCCGATGCCCACGAACACGGCCTCGAAGCCGTCCCGGCGCAGCCCCTGCACCGTCAGGTCCTTGGCGGACAGCGCGCGGCCCGTCTGCACCTTGACGCCCAGGTCGCGCACCAGCTGCACCTCGTACTGCACCACGTCGTAGGGCAGGCGGTACTGGGGGATCTCGGAGGAGCTGCGGAGGCGAACATGAACTGTTAGCAAGAAGACCGGTGCAGGCGGCCGAAACTCTAGACGCGTTTTGAGCTTCAGAGTCGCCAAACAGGACCCGAACCGAACGTGTGACCCCGCCAATGGATTCCTCGTTCGGAGAGCAATCCATTGGTGGGGTCACACGCTCGGTTCGAGCCCACCGCGCGAAAACACACCACGCACCTGAGCCCGCCGACGTAGTCGCTCTTCTCGAAGATGGTGATGTCCTTGTAGCCGAGGCGGCCCAGGAACGTGGCGCAGGACAGCGAGGCCGGGCCGCAGCCCAGCAGCGCGATCTTGGCCGCGGAGTTGGGCAGCTTGGCGGCCTCGGGCGGCACCTCCTGGGGGATCCGCATCTTCTTCAGCACCTGCAGAGCGTTCACACAGAGGCAGGTGACGTAACGAGTTGCTGCAGTCTGTTGCAGTGCCGGCACACTGTGTGCAGTACCTCCGTGGCGAACTGCTGCAGGCCGCCGATGTTGATGGGGCCCTCCTCAGCCGCCTGCAGGTTGCAGCCGCCCACGCACAGGTCGCTGGTGGGGCACACCATGCCGCAGGTCAGGCCCAGCGGGTTGTCGGAGAAGATGGCGGCCGCGGCGCCGTAGAAGTTCTGTTGCAGTCAGGTTAGGTTAGGTTCGACTGGAAGCCTCACAGTGGGCCAGAAGAACGATGGAGGCGGCCAAAATCCCGAACGCGCTTCGAGCTCGAGAGTCGCTAAATGGGACTCGAACCGAACGTGTGACCCCACCAATGGATTGCTCTCCGAACGAGGAATCCATTGGTGGGGTCACACGTTCGGTTCGAGTCCTGTTTAGCGACTCTGGAGCTCAAAACGCGTCTAGATGTTTTGTACGCCTCCACCGGTCTTCTGGCACACTGTGCGCACCTTGTTGGAGATGGACGTGATGAAGCTCTTGACGTCCAGCTGGGTGGGGCAGCTCTTCTGGCAGGGCGCGTCGGCGCACTTGAGGCACCTGGCCGCCTCCCGCAGCGCGGCGCGCTCGCTCAGCGTCGTGTGCTTGATGTCGTCGAAGTCCGCGAACAGCGGCCGGCATGTCTGCAGTGGGGGAAGAGTCGCATTTTGAGTGCCGTGCCTGCTGGTGGGTTCGATAAGGTTTGGAAAGGTTAGGTAAGGTTAAGGTAAGTTGGGAAAGGTAAGGTATAAAGGTAATGTAAGGTGAGGCAAGGCAAGGCAAGGTAAGGCAAGGTATAAGGTAAGGTAAGGAAAGGTAAGGAAAGGTAAGGTAAGGCGAGGGGGTAACCACTCGCGTAATACCCTGTACACAAAAACCGTGTATTACGCGTAATACACGTGATCGTAATACCATTTTTGGGTCAAATGTGCCAAATTTTGGCATTTTAGGGCCGTAATACACGTGTAATACACCCGTAATACAGCGTAATACGGAGTAGTCTGTACACGATTTCGTGAAGTGTTTACCCCCTCGAGGTAAGGTAAGGTAAGGAAAGGTAAGGAAAGGTAAGGTAAGGTAGGGTAAGGTAAGGCAAGGTAAGGTAACTTACGGTGGGAAATATTGGATAAGGTTATTAGGAATGGTCAGGTAAGGCTAGGTTCAGCCCGTCTTACCTCGCATTTCTTATCCGAGTTGCGCTTCCAGTGCGCCTTGTTGGCCTTGGTCTTGATGGTCGGCACCAGGGAGGCGTGTGTCGGGGTGCGCGGGTTGAGCCGGAGCAGGTTCTGCACAAAAGAGGTGGTCCGTTGCAATGATTAGAGCCCTACAAGTACCCCGGAGGGCTCTAGAAATGATCGTCTGCGAATAGGCTAACCTATCTGGCGGCGCGTTGCGCAAGGTGGGTTGCCCACCCCCGCGGCTCGATGGGTTGCCTACCTCCGCGGCGCTCGATCAAGTCTGTGGACCCGTTTCGGGAGTCGTTTCAACCGCTCTGCCTCTCTCGCACCTACACGGAAAGCCCCGAGTGCCCCGTGAGTGCGATAAAGACAGAGCGACGAAAACGACTCTCGGAATGAGTGTTCAGGGCGAGGGGGTATGCACTCGCGTAATAGTCGGTTCACTCTATCTGTAATAGCACGCGTAATAGTACGCGTAATAGTCGCGTAATAGCCGAAATTCTCCCATTTTTGCCAATTTTGGGGTGTTTTGGGGCCGTTTTTAGCTAAATTCTGATTATTTTGAAGCGTAATAGAGCGTAATAGTCGGTTCACAGGTTTTGAGAGTGCATAACCCCTCGGTTCAGGTCGGTTCAGGGGCCTCCATGCAACTAGGAAGCTAGAGCCCCACTGTTAAAAAAAATTTCTGAATTTTCAGACTAATTTGAGTGAAGTACTTTTACATAAACTCGTTATTAATTTTCAGACTCGTCTTGGTCTGAAAATGAAGTCTTAAAATTCAGACATGGCCAAGTCTTAAAATTCCCACTGCTTTGTAGCTGAAAATTCATACTTTTTGTCCAAAATTTTAGAACATACTGTGTGAATTCATCCTGCAGCAATCGTGCGGAAAGGGCAGCCTATTGTGGTGGTCTAGACGCTTGTTAGGGCGGACCTACTGGACGGATAACGATTTTTCTCCTGTGAGAGACAGAGCTAACTTCAAAGCGCGCCGGGATTCCGCGCACGATGGACACCATCGCTACTCAAAAAATATCAGACGAGATGGTCCGCAGTAGGACTGAGGCACTCGTCGTTCGAGGGTGAGATCACATATAAAATCTCCCATGTGTGCCACAACATCACGGAGGATCATGCGGGCACCCAACCTAATGACCGAACGCAGACGCCAGCGAGAGCCAACATTGAAATGCGGTTTTATCGACTTCAGAGTAATATTTTGTTTCAAACTTATTGCTAAAGGCTAGAGCTGATAATTACTAAAGCAACAGATGATGCTGTTTGCAAAAATTATTTACTTTAATGACATTAATCGGAAATACAAAGTGGCGATCTGCCGCGGCGCTCCAGGCGCCACCTAGCGGCAGGTCCCTGAAACGTAACTCCAGGCGGCTGCAAGCAAGTGGACCAAACCATTTGAGAAGTGATTGGTCCACAGTTTGCATTCAACAAGCTCCCTCAACATAACAACTGCCAATATCATAATGCTTTGATGCGCGACGTTTGATTTTGTATATCTGGTTTTGTATTAGTCAGCCTAATCTTAATTTTATGACTTCCCTCATTATGAAATTTCAGACTGGGTACAAATATTCAGACCAAGCACGGTCTCAGACTGCCCTGTCTGACATCTCAGACAAAAGTTATGAAATTTCATAAAAAGGTCTTAATTGGTGTTTCATAACGTCAAGTCTGAAAAAAGTTGTCTGAATTTTCAGAATTTTTTTAACAGTGCCCGAGCCCCAGCTCCCGAAAGCGGTACGTAGGCCTCTACTTCATGCGAGGGCCGACAATGGTACGTCTATTTTCGTAAGCTCAAGTGCTTTCAGATGATAACACTGCACAAGTACATCATTGTCGGGGCGAGTCTTTAGTCGACGAGTACAGTGGTAAAATTGTCACTTGGGCAGGCACTTCCCCGCGACCCTGGCAACGTAAGGTTTTGCAATAACAAAGAAATCGACGACAGCGATGACAGCACTCCAAGTTGGAGTGAGGCAACGATGCCGCTTGTTTGCCAGTCGCCGCTTATCAGACGTGTGTTATTCGAGATCGCTTTCATTTCGATTCGTTTTCATTCCCAGTGGAGGCGCACGCACCATGCGTACAGTACAGTGGCGTGACGTTATCGAGTAGTGCGTGCCAGACGGGCCATTCATGTCGCACCCACTGGGCTAGCTTACGCTAGGTTAGGCTAGGTCCAGTCCACAAAACTTTGTGTACGCGCCGGCCAAAACTCAAGACGCGTTTTGAGCTCCAGAGTCGTTAAATGGGACTCGAACCGAACGTGTGACCCCGCCAATGGATTGCTCTTCGAACGAGGAATCCATTGGTGGGGTCACCGAGGGGTTGACCACTCAGCTCAGGAGTGTACACAGGATTACTGATTACCAGTGATTACCTACAGACATACTCAAAAAACTCCATAATTTTGTCCAGCTAAGAGCATTTTGGCCTAATTTCATAGGAAAAACCCCCCAAATCCGATAAAAAAGGCGAAACTAGCCAGTTTTGGTGTGTGATTACCAATGATTACCGGACGAAGTGTACGTACACACGATTACCAGAGTGGGTAACCCCTTAGGGGTCACACGTTCGGTTCGAGTTCAGTTTAAACGACACTGGAGCTCAAAACGCGTCTAGAGTTATGGCCGCCTCCACCGGTCTTCCGGCCCAATTCCGCATGTAAGTTTGGTTGAAATAAGTAATCCGGCCCGGCAGGCCGGCTTCGTTTTCCCAGTGTTGTCGAACCGCCACTATGTTGTGGTCAGGGGGTGGGGGTGGGGGCGGGGCGGGGTGCCCCTGCCCTGCTGCCCCGCAGTATCGGAGGCTGAACTAGCGTTTGCCGCCGATAAGGACGACCCGGGGAAAGTGACGCAGGCTGCGCTCTGAAGTGTGAGTGTGATGTGATTTCGGTGGCGGCCGATCAAACTGACCGAGAACGCCCAACAGGACCCTCGATCGCGCCTCGTCAACCCGCCTAGGCAAAGTGACACCGTGCCGGATTACTGTAGTATTCGCCATGTCGCTGAAGTGCTTGCCGAAAAAAGGAGATGAAAAACACAGCGCGATTGATTACAAACCCTTGCCTTCCTCGGGGTTCAAAGGCCGTCCCCTCCCCCCTTCCCCCCTCCTTGCCCCGCCCCTTCAGCTAGCCGAGCCAACCGCCTTGACACACTGATGACAAACCGCGCCACGCCAAGGAATTTGGATCGAGTTTATCGATGGACTCGATGTCCAGCAGCAACGATAGTCCTCGTGTGTTTGCCTTGTGTTTGCAGCGTAGGGACACACAGGCTCGCACACACAGTGGGCCAGAAGACCGGTGGAGGCGGCCAAAAACTCTAAACGTGTTTTGAGCTCGAACCGAACGTGTGACCCCACCTATGGATTCCTCGTTCGAAGAGCAATCCATTGATGGGGTCACACGTTCGGTTCGAGTCCCATTTAGCGACTCTGGAGCTCAAAACGCATCTAGAGTTTTGGCCGCCTCCACCGGTCTTCTGGCCCACTGTGGCGCAGTGCAGTGGGCGAGACTCCACTGGAATGCAGTGTAGGCTAGGGTGCGCCTCCAGCTTTGCCTACCTCAATGTCCGGAGGGTCTCTGCTGATGGCCGGGGGCGCCATGGCTTCTCGATGTCAGTGTCCTCTGTCCGGTACGTCGTCCGGTACGCTGTCCGGTACGCTGTCCGGTACGCTGTCCGTTACGCTGTCCGGTACGCTGTCCGGTGCGCTGTCCGGCACGCTGTCCGGTGCGCTGTTCGGTACGCTGTCCGGTACGCCGTCCGGTGCGCTGTCCGGCACGCTGTCCGGTGCGCTGTTCGGTACGCCGTCCGGTGCGGTGTCCGGTGCGCTGTCCGGTGCACGCGCCGAGCCGCCTCCTCGACCGGTCCTCGTTGAGCCTGAGTGGGTGCACTTGTTTGGCCGCCCGGTTGGGTTGGTCGGGTCGGTTGCTGGGTGGTGCTCCGTACACTGTATGTAGTCGCTCCGCCGGACGCTGTGTGACGCGGTCGCGGGGAGGCGCTGGACCAGTACAACCTCTCGCTGCCACTGCTCCAAGCCAACTAAAGGCTAAGGCTGGTCATGTCATGTGGAGTGGAGGAGCATCGTTGGTGTGTGTGTGTGAGTGTGTGTGGAGGGGGGTACCCGCGGCGTGGCGGCGCTGCACGGGGCGTAGGATGCAGCTCAGACAGCCCGACTCACAGTGGGCCAGAAGACCGGTGGAGGCGGCCAAAACTCTTGACGCGTTTTGAGCTCCAGAGTCGCTAAACAGGACTCGAACCGAACGTGTGACTCCACCAATGGATTCCTCGTCCAGAGAGCAATCCATTGATGGGGTCACACGTTTGGTTCGAGTCTCTCTTAGCGACTCTGGAGCTCAAAACGCGTCCAGAGTTTTGGCCGCCTCCGCCGGTCTTCTGGCCCACTGTGCGACTGAGAGTCGTTTTCGTCGCTCTGTCTCTCTCACACTCATGGGGCGTGCAGTGTAGGCGCGACAGAGACACAGCGCGACGAGAACGCCACTCGGAATCAGTCTACAGTCCGACAGTGTTGCCAACGGACGACGGTCAAGGAGTCCCTCTCGAATGGGAATGACACTCAATCGGATCGGATCGAGCGCGATAAGAAGCGCGACATGTGTCCCGCTGTTGTTGAGACGCGCGGCCAGCTTGGTGGTCGCGGCCATACCCTCCGTCACGCGGCGTGGGGTATGCACAGTGGGCCAGAAGACCGGTGGGGGCGGACAAAACTCCAGACGCGTTTTGAGCTCCAGAGTCGCCAAATGGGACTCGAACCGAACGTGTGACCCCACCAATGGATTCCTCGTTCTGGGAGCAATCCATTGGTGGGGTCACACATTCGGTTCGAGTCGTATTTAGCGACTCTGGAGCTCAAAACGCGTCTAGAGTTTTGGTCGCCTCCACCGGTCTTCTGGCCCACCGTGCGGCGTCGCCGTGGCGTGGCGGTGCGTTTCGCCGCTCTGTCTCTGTCGCACTCGTGGGGCGTTCCGCAGGGGTGCGAGAGAGACAGAGCGGCGAGACGACGCGCGTTTCGCCATCGTCGTTTTGTTTCCGACGTGAATAGACTTCCCCGAGTCTCCCCGGCACTGGCAGCAGACCGATTCCGAGAGTCGTTTTCGTCGCTCCGTCTCTCTCGCACCTATACTGCACGCCCCATGAGTGCGAGAGAGACAGAGCGACGAAAAGGACTCTCGGAATGAGTCTGCTGGCGGGGAACTGCCACACCGGACGTCGGCGTCGGTGCGGCGCGCCCAAAGGGCCCAAAGGCTGTGCACTCCGCCAATCGAATCACCCAGTCGCGCTCTGTCTCTCTCACACCCGTGGGGCGCCCTGTCCAGCTGCCAGACAGAGGTGCGACGTGACGAGACGATGAGCGGAATCAGTGTTACCACACAGCACGCAAAAACTCCCACGTTGCACCAGTGTCGAAAGGGTTGCCAACCTCAGCCTGCGTGCCCGGCAGACCTGGGCTTCGCACGGTGGGCCAAAAGACCGCTAGAGGCGGCCAAAACTCTAGACGCGTTTTGAGCTCCAGAGTCGCTAAACAGGCCTCAAACCGAACGTGTGACCCCAGCAATGGATTCCTTGTTCGGAGAGCAATCCATTGGTGGGGTCACACGTTCGGTTAGAGTCCTGTTTAGCGACTCTGGAGCTCAAAACGCGTCTAGAGTTTTGGCCGCTTCCACCGGTCTTCTGGCCCACTGTGCTTCGCTCTCGAGATGTTGCCTAAACAGGCTGAGGTTGGCAACCCTTCCGACAATGGTGCATCGCGGGAATTTCCGCCTGGCCACACTTCCTGGTTGTGCCTGCCCGAACAGGGGTCTTCATCCCCAGAGCCACCGTGCCGCAGTGCTACGCGGGTTCGCTAAGTTGCCCCTCGGAATCTGCGAGGGATGCCTTGGGTATGTATCCGACAGAGTGAGCGATCCGCCGCCAAAGCCTCTCTCTCTCTCTCTCCCTCTCTCTCTCTCTCTCTCTCTCTCTCTCTCTCTCTCTCTCTCTCTCTCTCTCTCTCTCTCTCTCTCTCTCTCTCTCCTCTCTCACTCTGTCGCCTTGCAGCGCCACGATTAATATTCAGACTCGATAGGGTACTTTCGTAGATCCGTGAACCGGAAGCACAGACGCCATGTTGGCGGAAGCAGGTCCAAACTTGACATGGGAAAGAGACGTTAGTCAAACGTATCGGCCACACTTGAACATAAACAGTTGTTTGATACTTTGCTTGCAGTGCATATGTGTTTCGCGAGCAATATTTGTACAGCTCGGCTAAAGTTTTAGATCAGAAGAGAGGTTAGTTTCCGGCCAATTTGGAGTCTGCTGGTCTGCTTGCTTCCGGTTCAGGATCTACGAAAGTACCCTATTCGCGAAATGCATCTTAGTCCTGCTTCTGGGTGTCTGAGTGTCCCGAGCCGGATTAGCCCGGCGCGGCGGCGGGGCGCGGCGCGGCGTGTCCAAGTTTGGGTCGCGGTTGCGGGGGTTGAGGATCGGAGCGGACTGCAACCGCAGCAGCGGACAAAATTCCAGGATTTAGCAGTGAGGCGGAGAGCTCCGGCTGCGCAACAAACTGGGTGCGCAGTACCAACTCCAGGAGCAGCAGCAGCAACAACAACAACAACAACAACAACAACAACAGCAAGGCGCCGCTAAGCGAACGAGAACCAGACCCAGTAAACAGAGTTGACGAAGAGAGATGAAAAAGAGAGCCGAAAAGTGGAATAAAGAGAAGTAGTAATGGGAGACGCACGCGATCTAGATTTCTTCTAGACTAGAGCCATAGAAAGAGCAACAACAAACGAGAGTTGGGCCTGGGAGGCGCGGCGGGTGGGGGTGGGGGTGGGGGTAGTTGCCGCGCGCGCCGCCCCTTCCCGCCACCTCTCCTTCCTCCGCCCGCCGCCGCCGCCTGCCGCCTCGCTTCCCTCTGCCCCTCCCTCTCCTCTCCTCCGCTCCGCTCGCTCGCGCTCCGCGCTCGCGCCAGTTCAGTCGTCTGCTGGCTGCCGCAGCGTCCGCGTCGTGCGTGCCGTGCCGTCTCCGCGTGCGTTGTGCGTCCTCTCGTCGTCCGTGCCGCGTGTGTTCGCGTGCGCGTGCGCTCCGGACGAGTCGAGACGCGTGCCGGCGCCCCGCCTGTCCGCGTCGCGAGTGCCGAGTGGGTTTTGTTTTTTGGCGGGAAAACGACCTCACCCGCCGCGACGCCGCCGCAACCAGTGTACGCGTGCCGGGCCTTCCCTGTCAGTGTTCAGTGCTTTCGGGAGTCACTGACCAGTGGCACGGACTCAAGCCCAAGGATTACTTGATTGCTTGCTCAGTGAAGGGCTCTCGGCCTGTCAAGTGTGTTAGTGAGTGAGAGTGTGTGTGTGGCCAGACGGATCGCATCTTCGTGTTTTCTTTGTGTGAGTACCGAGACGAATTTAATCGAGCAGTCTGTTATCATTCAATTAGAGCATTGTGCGACGGTCATTGATTTAGTTTCGGTCGCCGGGTTGCTGTGGTTCGCCGCTGCTGCTTCCGGTGGTGTCGCTCTGTCTCTCTCGCTCTCACTAGGGGCGCCCCGCGAGTGCGACAGAGACAGAGCGACACGGCCTGCTTCGGAATCAAAAGCGCTGTTCTCTTTGCAGTTAGGATTGAAGTTTGTCAGTGTGGTGACAATGCTTATGAGTCAACCACATCGCGAACTGTCAAAATCGAGCTCTTTCGTGCTCTCGCGCAGCTATTTCCTGTCAGTGACGCTGCCCGGAGTTGCAGTCCAGAAAGTGCGCTCGCCTGCAGGTTTCCTGGCACAGCGTTGGCACCCCGGCACTGCCGGCACTGCAGACTGATTCCGAGAGTCGCTTTCGTCGCTCTGTCTCTCTCGCACTCACGGGGCGTGCCGTGTAGGTGCGAGAGAGACAGAGCGACGCAGGCTGCTGCAGGCTCTACAGCGTGTCCTTCTCGTGTCGTTGCAGGACTGACCGTGTTGGTCCACGCCGCCCCGCGCGTGTCTGCCCGGCCGTCTGTCCGGTCGGCCGGCCGGTCGCCAGCTCGGTCTGCCCGGGCCGCCACGCCGCGCTACGCCCCAGAGGATGTGATGCATGCCTCCAGGGGCGTGGGCTCGGCCCAGCCTGCCCTGCCCGGCCCGTGCAGCTGCAACCCGTAGGCGTGTGGGCGAACCGACGACGGAGCCTTCCGCTGTGGACGCCGCCATGGAGTTTGTCGTGCTCAAGGTAAGGGTCCGAAGGGAGCCGGCGGGGACCGCCACACCGCCCCACCGTGGGCCAGAAGACCGGCGGAGGCGGCCAAAACTCTGGACGCGTTTTGAGCGCCAGAGTCGCTAAGTGAGACTCGAACCGAACGTGTGACCCCACCAATGGATTGCTCTCTGAACGAGGAATCCAGTGGTGGGGTCACACGTTCGGTTCGAGTCCTGTTTAACGACTCTGGAGCTCAAAACGCGTCAAGAGTTTTGGCCGCCTCCATCGGTCTTCTGGCCCACTGTGCGCCACACCGCCACACCGGAACGGGAGGGGAGTGATTTGGGCCCGCCAACAGCAGACTGATGCCGAGGGTCGCCGTCGTCGCTCTGTCTCTCTCGCACCTATACGGGACGCCCCATGAGTGCGAGAGAGACAGAGCGACTCTGGCCTGCAGTGCGCGTTGCCTCACCTCAATCAGTGGGGGATTAATCCCACGCGCTTGTTTACCGCCTGCCGGTGAAAACCGAAGTTCACACTTCATTCTTCATCGTTGGCGCGTTGGCGCGTCCGACAGCGAACAAATATACGCCCGATCCCGACGGATCGTTGCGTCGCTCCGTCTTTGCCGCACTCACGGCGCGTCCCGTGGGGCCTCCCGTAGGGCCGCGGGGGTGCGAGGGAGACGGAGCTAGCGCGGCTAGAGCGCCTGCCAGTGTAGTAACCCACGGTGTGGCGCGCCGGCCCGGCCGGCTGGTGCGAGTAGGGACCCGAGTCCCGCTTCCGAGAAGCCAGGCAGTCTCTCCCCGTTAGCTCCGCAGTGCTCCGCAGGCTGCGCGCCGCTCCACTGTTGGCGCGTGTGGACCGGAGTGGACAAAGCACGGATGTTGCCCAGTAGGCAGGCTGAGGTTGGCAACCCTCTCGACACTGGTGCCCAGTGAGAATGTTTGCCTACTCGTGCTGTTGCATTGGCACGCACTGAGCCTCTCGTTTTGCCTCTTTCGGGCTGACCATTCAGTTCTTTGCCCCCCCCCCCTCTCTCTCTCTCTCTCTCTCTCTCTCTCTCTCTCTCTCTCCTCCTCTCTCTCTCTCTCTCTCTCTCTCTCTCTCCTCTCTCTCTCTCTCTCTCTCTCTCTCTCTCTCTCTCTCTCTCTCGCCTCCCCATTTTGACGCCCCTGCATGGCTTCTAACGAGCCCGCTGCCCGAGTCGAAGGCAAGTTTATGACACGGCCTGACTGACCAGGTTGTACACAGACACACATTCACATTTACATTCACACACACACACACACACACACACACACACACACCTCACAGAGCCGCCGGGGGCGTAGGTGGTCTCGAAATTGTTTCCCAGAGACACACGCGGGGGACTTCAAATAAGAGTAAACAAAGGTGAAAGTATACGGCTGTCTCGGAAGAAAGATCCAGTTGAACTCAACGCGGTCGGTATTTGGGTTAGAAATGGCCGTCTTCTTTGTTTACGTCATGGTGGGGGTCGCACTGCTGCAGGCTCAAGTTTCGCGCGTTCCGCGGTGTGTGTGTGTGTGTGTGTGTGTGTGTGTGTGTGTGTGTGTGTGTGTGTGTGTGTGTGTGTGTGTGTGTGTGTGCTGTACTCTGCGTTCGCGTTTATGACCTCATAAGTTCTGGGTTCGAATCCCGGCGATGACCGCCGTGTTTGTGTTCAAGGTGCACATATAGGTGGTGCTCGCGGCCCCAGTCAGCTGGCGGGGCGGGGCGGGGCGGGGCGCGCCGTCAGCCCGTACAGGGGCTAGGGCAGCACGCGTTATTTTTAGCCCCTCCGCTTCCTGGGGTTGCCGCTCCTGGATGCTGCAGTTCCTGCATGGTGCAGCCGCAGCCTTGCAGCCTTTCAGCCCGGCAGACTGCGTGGTCCCGAGGCGTGGGGGGTCCTGGGAGTGCGAGAGAGAGAGAGAGAGAGAGAGAGAGAGAGAGAGAGAGAGAGAGAGAGAGAGAGAGAGAGAGAGAGAGAGAGAGAGAGAGAGAGAGAGAGAGAGAAAGAGCGACGAATGCGCTTTTCGGGACGAGCCTGCTGCTGCCCTCTGACATCGCCATTTAACTGGGACTCAAATCAAGACGGGGATTGGTCCTGAAGTCCTGCCGCACAGTGGGCCAGAAGACCGGTGGAGGCCGTCAAAATCCCGGACGTGTTTTGAGCTCCAGAGTCGCTGAATGGGACTCGAACCGAACGTGTGACCCCCACCAATGGATTCCTCGTTCGGAGAGCAATCCATTGGTGGGGTCACACGTTCGGTTCGACTCCCATTCAGCGACGCTGGAGCCCAAATCGCGTCCGGGTTTTGGCCGCCTCCGCCGGTCTTCTGGCCCACTGTGGGATGTGTGGACGGGGAGCGCGTCGCTGCACGCAAAAAGCGGCGCCCGCCCAAATCCCCGCCGATGTATACAAATGAGCGCTGCCTCGGCGCACGCGTCCGCACGCCCCGCCAGCCCCGCCCGGGCCGACCTCGTCCATTCGGCTGTTCGGCCGCGACCCCCCCCCCCCTCCCCCCTCTAGATGCACTGCGGGTTGTTGTGCAGGCTAGTGCCGCGGATGTCTGCCATTGAATGCATTTGTTGGCTTTGAACGCGAGCCAAGACTGCACCGGGACCCCTCCCCCCCTCCATTCCGCCCTCTTCCACCTCCCCCGCCACGCTTTGCATGTCAATGAACCGGCTCTTTACGGCCACATCACGTCGAGCGTCTGCCCCGCCCCGCCCCGCCCCGCCCCGCCCCGCCGGCTAGAAGGTGCTCTCGTGGTGACATTCACCTCGTTTGGCCACGACGACGACCTACGACGGCCAGCTGCGTAGTGGCGGCACGGCACGGGGGCGGGGGGGGCGGGGCCGGGCCCCCAGGTTCCCCTTCGTCCCTTTTTTTCTCCCTTTTTTTCCTTTTTTTCCTCTTTTTTTCTTTTTTCCTCTTTCTTTTTTTCTTTCGGAAATTTTCTTTTTTTTTTTGGGGGGGTGGGGGGGAGGAGTGAATTCATTTACAATTGTTGTGGAATTTTAATTTTTCTGCTTGTTTAAAATTTGAGCCGGCGCCGTTTTCCATCCTCTTTGCTCTTTCTTTGACGTCCTCCGCCTTTCGCTTGCCGCCTCCCTCCGGACCGCTCGGCCACCCAGCACACTGCTTCCGAGAGTCGTTTTCGTCGCTCTGTCTCTCTCGCACTCGCGGGGCGTGCCCTGTAGGTGCGAGAGAGACAGAGCGAGGACAACGACGACTCTCGGAATCGGTCTGCTTCACAGTGCAGGGCCTCAAGCGATGCCGCCGCACGTTTGCCTCCCTTCCGGTGCAGGCACGTGCGGGGCCCCGTGCGAGGCTAGCGAAGGGGCACTGTAGGCAGTGTAGGCACGCGCACTCGCCGTAATCTCGAATCAAACACGGTGCCTACACTGTTGCCAAAACAGCTAAGTCACTGTCAAAAGGACTTGGGAATTCCCCAAGAACGTGTCTAAAAAAATTGCCTTTAACCTACGTAAAATTTTAAAATTAAAAAAAAAAACACCCAATGTTTTTATTTTTGACTAATGTGGTTCCATTTGTTTCGTTCTTTTCGATCCGATTGACGCGTTTTGAGCTCCAGAAGTCCTTAAATAGGAGTCTGAACCGAGCGTGTGACCCCACCAATGGACTGCTCTCCGAACGAGAAATTCATTGGTGGGGTCACACGTTCCGTACGAGTCACATTTAGCGACTCTCGAGCTCAAAACGCGTCTGGGGTTTTGGCCGCCTCCACTGGTCTTCTGGCCCACGTCGTCGGCGCCGTCGGTCGGCGCAGGTGGACTGTTTTTCGTGCTTTTCGTCGCTCCGTCTCTCTCGCCCTGGTGCGGGCGAGCGTTCGGGAGTGCGAGAGAGACGGAGCGAAAATTGTGGGAGGCACGTGACGTGGCTGGGAGAGCCCCGCTATCACCTTGTCGCGCCTGAATCTAATAAGGGGAAGGGGTGAGCAAGGGCAGGGCCGGCGAGAAAAAGGGGGAGGGGAGGGGTGGGGGAGGGCTGAGTGCTCCTTGAAAGGCTATCGCGTCCACAGGTGCGGACCCAGGGCGGAAGCACGGAAGCAGCAGCCTCAACACGACTGCAGACTGATTCCGAGAGTCGTTTTCGTCGCTCTGTCTCTCTCGCACTCATGGGGCGTGCCGTATTGGTGCGAGAGAGACAGAGCGACGAGACCGAATCTCTGAATCGGGCTACTGTGCGGCTTTTTCCGCTTTCTGCCGGACTTAGAGAGAGAGAGAGAAGGGGGGGGGGGATATCCGCGACCTTGCTGAAAGTGGCCGACGCCGGGGTTTGAACCCAAGCCAGCCTCGTTCAAGCCTAGTCGGTCAGTCGATTTTGGTAAACTTGATGGTCGAGTGTACAGGGGGCGGGGGCAGCTTAGCATGAATGAGGTGTGCACGCTGTGTGTACACTGGCACTCCGCGACGGCGAACCGCTGCACACTGCGATGGTTTATGCAGGAGCTGTGGATTCAATCGGCCGGTTTGAGGGAGTAGCGGCGTGGCGCAGTGGGCCAGAAGACCGGTGGAGGCGGACAAAACTCTGGACGCGTTTTGAGCTCCAGAGTCGCTAAATGGGACTCGAAGCGATCGTTTGACCCCACCAATGGATTGCTCTCTGAGCGAGGAATCCATTGGTTGGGTCACCCGTTCGCTTCGGGTAATATTCAGCGACTCTGGAACTCAAAACGCGTCCAGAGTGTCGGCCGCCTCCACCGGTCTTCTGGCCCACTGTGCGTGGCCTGGCGTTCTGTGCGGCCCGCTCACCGCGCGGCTCAGTGTCCGCCGTGTCAATGAGGGTCGCGCAGGGCCTGTCTGTCTGTCTCTCTCGCACTCACGGGGCGTGCCGTACAGGTGCGAGAGAGACAGAGCGACGAAAACGACTCTCGGAATCAGTCTGCAGCCCCAACGGGACGGGCGGCACCGTCTAAGCGGTCGCTGACACCTTGCGCAGGGCGTTGCGCAGGGGCTTCGATCGGCAAGAAGACCCTGCAACGATGCGTCAGCAATTTCGTCCG